TTGTGTCTAGTCTTAGGTTCACTGAGTCATTCTGGTGCTTTATTCTGTGGTTTATTTGCAGATGTTCCAGGTGATCCAGCCTGAAAGGAGAGTCCTGTATATCCAAGCAAATAATTGTGTGGAGGCCAAGGACTGGATTGATATCCTCACCAAAGTTAGCCAGTGCAACAAGAAGCGCCTCACAGTTTACCATCCCTCAGCCTATCTCAATGGCCACTGGCTTTGCTGTAAAGCTACTGCAGATAACACCCCTGGCTGCACACCCTGCACAGGGTAAGGGTTTTTACATGCCATGGGTGTAGCTGCTGCCATGGGTACATGTGTCTCTGCAGGGTGACTTGTGGGTGCACACTTAACCAAGGTTTGCCAGGTGTACAGGTGTTCAAAGGCCACCTGTTGGTATTCTTGATTCTGCATGTCTTGATCAAAATGTTGACTTTTTTGGAGTTAGAGATGGTGACAGGAGTTGACTGTGGGATTAAAAATACTTTGGTTTTGATCATATGTCATTAATAAAAACATTTGAAATCCCTTCAATGTACTGTTTGTAAATTCCTGAAGCATTCATCTGCTGATAGATTTAATTCTAAACTGATCTTTTCAAGGGGATACTCATGCTCTCTCTTAAATGAAGATGTACTGTCTGGTTTGTAGGAAGTAATTTTCATCTAAACTGAGAGACTTAACAAGACTGTAATGGTAGTTAAACTCACAATATAAGACTTGTGTAGTTGGAAGTTCAGTGCTTTGGCTCCTCCATCTGGTTGTAGCTGACTAATTCACCAAAATGTCTGGATACTTCTCTTTCAAGTCAGTGAAAGTGTGCTGGATAAATAGAGGCATAAAGAAATTTGAACTTATTCTTTTGGGAAAAAAATGGAAGGTTTTGAGCTCTGTTACACAAAATCCTTTTGTTTTCATGAGAGCTCACTCAAAGTTTGTTTTCAAAACTTTGTTTTCCTTGCTAAGTGCTTTATGTGCTATAACACAGGGTTTAGCATATAACTTTCACCTCTCTTCCAGAGGCCTGCCAGCAAATATACAACTGGATATAGATGGAGATAGAGAAACTGAACGCATCTACTCTCTTTTCAACCTGTATATGCCAAAATTGGAGAAAATGCAAGGTGAGGATTAAAGATCATTTCATCTCCAATTCACTTACCAAGGCAAAAAATACCTGTGAAAAGTTGGATATTCTGGCTCTACCAGCCTTGCAAATCACATCCTAGAACATAGTGGGTTTTATTCCACTTGTTTCCCCTTCTGCTGTCTTGAGGCAGTTGTGTGTATTATTTTTGGTGCAGTCTCATGGTCTGTAAAAAGTTCTTTGCGTAATAACAGTTGTTTGAAATACGGTCTTAACCACATCATCTTAAAATAGCATAGCCACAGAGCGTTGCTTGGATGCTCTGAATGGACAAATCAGAGGCAGCACTGAACCAGAGGTTTCTGATCCTGACAAGAAGCACCAGCAAAGCTGAGGTTTCAGTGGAATATGGTTTTGTGTTACCAGAAGTCATGTGCACGCACATTCCCTGATTCAGATCCTAAGAACCGTCTGGATACAAACGGCTTCTTTGGAAAGTCTCTTTCAGAATTACACAGTGATATTACCTGTGGCTGTTTGTGAGATGTTGAAAAGTGGAGTTTTGGCTGGGAAACTTTCAGGAGCTGAGGGAAGCAGAGATGTGATGGAAAGGATAAAAGAAAGAAGAGACAGCAGAGGAAGTTGGTACTAGTAGGCATGCCAAGAGAAGTATCCGGTGTACACAGTGCCAGACTTGAAATCCCAGTTTAGCTCAGGGAGTGGCGGGGAAGCCTTCACTGTGGCACTGATCTTTAAATAGGACTTTATTTTATAATATGAGATAAGCCAGTGGTGTCAAACACACAGACTGGAAAGCACTTTAATCTGTCCCTGGCTGCTGTGCAATTGCAAATTCAAGATCCTCACCACTTCCGAGCTGTCTGAACTGGTGCCCAGCTTTCCCCTGTTCCGAATCCTCGCTGCCAATGCCAGCGTCGAATTTCGGTGTTGGGGAAAAGGACGCAGGTCTGGCACGGACAGTGCAGCAAGGGAAGGGAATTTGAAAGCTGAGACTGGGACAGCAGTAAAGCTAGAAGGAGAGACAAAGTAAAATACTCTTTCCCTTTCTTTCCTCTTCTAATACGCTCTGCTACAGTGTGGGAGTAGATCACATGGGAAATATGTGTGGATGCTCATGTGTAGTCAGTGTCCAGATCTCCTAGTCAGGAAGGCTCACTGCTAACATCAGAAAGTACAGAAGTGTAACTTTGGGTATGTCATAAAGCAGGCAGCCAGGCAGTAGTTATGGCATATTCTGATTATGCTTATTGTATAAATCTTTTAGGGTAATGTGGTAAAACATGACTACTTCAACCTGTAATGTTTTCAAATTCAGCCTGTACTTGCTGCCTGGGGATGGAACCTGTCCCAACAAGTGAATACTTGATTCTGTGCAGGCCAATCTTGCAGCACAGTGGCAGAGGCAGTACTCTTATGCTGTGTGAGAGTTTCCAGATTGTCTGCATGGGGTGCAGAGTGTGGCTTTTGAGATTAAAGCATTGCCTGTGAAGCAAAGGACAGCTTCCCACCAAGCCAGGAGCAGCTGCCAGGCTTGCTGCCCTTTACGTACAAGACAAGGAGGAGGGAACGGGGGCATGGGACAGCTTCTCGGCCTCCCAACAGCCCAGCAAAAGGACAGGGAACTTCTGCTGTGGATGTCAGCCACAGTTCTGTGGTGGTCACACAGAAGCAAACCAAGACTCATGGTCTGAAGCACAGACTCAATATTTTTAGTCTGCTTGTCTTGCATTTCCCCCCCTGCCTGATATTTATTCCTGTACTTTGTTTTTTCTATAGAGGCCTGTGGGAGCAAATCTGTGTATGATGGACCTGAAGAGGAAGAGTATTCCACGTTCATAATTGATGACCCTAAGGAGACATATAAAACACTAAAGCTCATTATTGAAGGTGTTGGAACTTTAGAGCAGGAGCATGCTCAGTATAAGAGAGATAAATTTAAGAAGACAAAGTATGGAAGCCAGTAAGTACAATGGATTGTCCAACAGGAGTGGTCCTGGAAGATGGTATTTCCCTTGCTTATGCTCTGGTTTTCATGATATTTTGTCAAAAAAAGGTCCTGTTAATACATACAGAGTAACACCGTGACTTAGGATTTATATCACAATATTTTAAAGCACTGAAAGGATTTTTTTAATGCTTGTTTTTAATGCAGTTTCATTCATAAAATTTAAATGTGATTTTGTTATATTGGTTTTAAATTTTGATCCCATGCTGGTGAGCTGAGGAGTTAATAGCAGAAGAATAAGTGTTTATCAGCTTATCTTGGAGTGTTGTTTTAAAGATGGAAAAAGTGGCTGAGACAGCCACATGGCTGTGTTTTGTGTACACATAAAGCATTCTGCATATGGCTGACAAAAAAGAGGTTCAATTCAGTTAGTTCTAGCTCAAGTAAAATGCAGTATTAACATTAAAATTACAACTTTAAAAATCAAATTTAGGGAAAAATTTTTTGTGTGTTCCACTTTCTGTTCTGACATTTTCATGTTCTGACAAAGCTCTATGTACAATACTGGTTTCTTTTTTTTCTTTTAGAGAACATCCCATTGGTGACAAGAGCTTCCAGACATACATCAGGCAACAGTCAGAGATCTCAGCACATTCCATATGAAGTGCAAAGGAAACCACAGGACAGTGCTGAAGGGTTGAATAGTGATGCTAAATAGCAAACAAAAGGGAAGCCACACATGTAGCAAAATGTATGGATAAGTGTCAAGCTTACAAACTTTGAGACTTGGTAAACGTATTCTCTTTTCAAGAAACTGTTATAATAGTTGCTGTGCACTTTATTCATCTGGTTATTGACAGATGATAAAACCCTGCCTTCTAGGCAGTTGTCATGTGTATTTTTAAATTTGCTTTGGTTTCTTGGAATCTAGTGATCAGTTCAATGATCGAGGTGTGTGGACTTCATCTTGACAACTCCCATGCAATTCCTTGTGTTTTGGAAACCAAGCATGCTGCTAATATGCAGCATTTTCTAGATTTGTTGTTTGTTACTGTTTTTTGTTCCTGATTAATGTATATTATGCCACACCCCCTGCGTGCTCTCTTAGGAAAAGCTTAGTAACACTTTACTTTTAATGCCTGCATTTAGAAGAGAAGCAGGGAAAAATCCCTCTGGCGTAATCATCTACATTGTAGCTTGTATTCTGAGCAGGCCAAGGAGCAGGCCTTTTGTTTTTACAGCAGTGTAATTTTTGCTAACTGTGCACAGTTTTTAATAGAAATTCAAATCTGAATGGTACTCTTGATATTTTTGAGATACGAAGTCATTTCTCCAGGCACATTCAGCAGACTTTGGATTTGAAGATGCGATCTCAGCAGTATAATAAAACTGACTCTCATAAATATGAGTAAGAAAGAAATGAACTCATGTCAAAGCTTCGTGTCTCTTACACAGTCCAGTGAATGGTAATCTTTGAAAGTCTGCCAACTGAAAGGCAAGGTAAGCTGATTTTGATGACCTTTTATCACCACAGTGAGAAGGACAAATAAGAGTATGAATCAGGCAGCTGAGACATGCGGATTCCCAGGCACGAAAGCCGTCAAGATGGGTTTTCTCTGAAAGGATGTTTATGCACTGGAGTCCATGCTATCCTAGTACCACTTGCTTTTCTGGAAAATAGATTTCTACTTTTCCAAAAAATGTTTTTAAATACTTTTTAAAAGAGACTTGTTAAATGATATTTAGTATATTAACATGCATAATGATAACTTGTTAATACTATGAGTGTAGTAAAAATGGAATGAGCTATGTATCTCACTAATACCAACAAAAGGAGAGGAATAAAGGTCTTCTAAATATTCAACGCATATTTATGTATGCTGTTTAGTTGTACACCATAATTTTTCTCTGTGTAAGGGTCTGATATACAAACATCTGTCTTTGAAGGCTTGGAAGCCTGCATGGTGGATGTTAGGCCTCTGTGGGGTAGAAGCTAGTACAGATTTTAAGCTGAGTTGGATCAGAAAGCATTGATCAGTTTAATGTGAAGATGTCTGTGTTCAAGTGTTAAAGAATAATTCTTAACTGTGTCCTCATTGCATCTGACATGATTTAAGATGGCTAAAGTATTTTGAATGCCTCTGTTTGTTAGTGATCTTAGAAATTAAGTTTTGGTTTTGTTCAAATATATAGTAGACCACTTTCTAGTAGATGATAAATGATCTTTTATTCATCTTCACCCAGCAGACTGGGGAAAGGGAAGTAATGAAGCATTGCAAAGATGCATTTAGGACTCCAAGCTTTTAGCTGCCATGAACTGCAATTTTTAACATGTATTTGTAACTTAATATTGTTTATAAAATACTAATGACTTGTAATGTGTGTTCTACTTGCCAATTAAAAGAAACGGTTTATTTCTGAAAACTGTGTCCGTGTCTGGAGTCCTTTTAAATTCACAGTGGCCACCAGCATGCCTCTTGGCACAGCATCTGCTCGGAGTGGGGCCATGGATGGAGATTCTTGAGTGTAACCTGCCTAGTCTCATCCTCACTCCTCCACTCATCCCCACCCATCCCTTTTATTGTCAGCATTGCAGCCATGGGACTCTGCAGTGAACCAAACTGAGCATCTGAGCCAGCCATAAACTACCTTAGCAAAGGAAGCTTGCTCAGCTAGGTCAGCATCTTGAACTGACTCCTTGTGTTACTGCACAGTAACTGAGCTGAGACCATGTTGAAAGGACAGGAGGAACGAGCTGAGCCCTCGCACCCTGCATGCCTAAGGATTGGCTCACAGGCCTATGGAACCACCACCCTTCTGATTAGGACATGTTCTGTGACAAAACCTTGGACTTGCTGAGGTCTGTGCTAGTCATACTCCTGGAGTTTACCAGTCCTCTCTGGATAATCATGTGCACGGAATCTGGCTCTGAGATGTGTGACAAGCTGCACACGCTGGTTCTCTTGGGGAGTGTTTCCAGGGAGGCTGGCAGTGGCCCCCCACAGGATGGAAAGCTGCTGACCGGCATTCAGGGCGTGTTCACTCAGCTTGTGTTGAAGGTAACTCCCACTGCTGTAGTGAGTGTCTCTCGCAGAACCCAGGTGTGAACTTCTCAGAAGCATCTGGGGATGAGCTGCTGCAGGCGCGCTCGAGCTGAGCGACAGTAGTGGTTTAACAGATAAACCACATCCAGGAACAAAAACCAAAGTGAAGGTGGAAGACACATCACCAGTGTCCTGGTGAAGGTGAACTTGACCACAATTGTGTTAATGTGGCATTTTGCTGAGGAACTGTAAGTCTTGTTCTGAAAACAAAATTTTATATAAAATGAAGGTAGGAAACCGACACAAGATTTCTAAGAAATGAGAAGAGTTAAATGCAGAATTACTGTAATACCATTTCCAGCTCTGTCTCTTTTTCACTCAGTCTTATCCAGTGTATACAATAATTTTCTTCTCCTACTAACATAGCTTAAGTCAATGGGAAGTCTTTGCAATCTGCTTTTCTTACAGCATAACATTATGTGTTTGGTGAGGGGGTTGTGTTAAAACTGGGCTTCCAGTACTTGCTTAGTCTCTGTCTCCTGTCTGTCTGCAGCATATGTTTCCGATGCTATCTTCAGAAACTCTCAGAAATCCTTCCCACAAGAGAGATAGCTTGATTGGGAAACTTGGGACAGCATCCCTTGTGTCCGGAATGAAAAAACTAGGGGGGAAAAAAAAAGCATAGGCATAAGTAAGCACTTCAGGTAAGTTTTCTTTGCTCTCTCTGAGGCTGAAAAGCAACAAAATCATTTTTGATAGAAAAAATAATTAGAAGTTGGGCTGTTCTCTCCTGGGACTCCTGCTGCCAAAGAAGTTCCCTGTGCCTGTTTTGTCCCTTGTTGACGCAATGTGCTAGGGCAGGACTGACGTGGGGACAGGACCCAGATACAGAAGGCAGCTGGCTGTGTGAGACAGCTGTCTGAGGCACCTGAACTTCGATGTGATTCCCATCCTCTTTCTGCAATACTCTGTGCCGCTTCACCTTTTTAAAGGTCTGTGTGAGAAGCTCACCTGGATAGCAGGAGAATGTGTGAACCCTGCCAGCCCCCATTATTAGGTCCAGTGAATGGGTGCTGCAGGAGGAGCGTGGTGTAAGGACTGACATGGGTGGTGCTTGGAGACACAGAACAGCATCTTCCCATGAGTCACCTCCTGTGGGTGCATTGCAGCTGGGCTAGCAGGGCTGACTGAAGACAGCATTTCCTTCTGGCTCTTGGGCTACTGTCATTAAATGGTAAATAAATTATTCCAAAGCTCTAGTGGGTACTGAGGAACGGAGGAAGTTTTAAGACAGAAGCACTGTATTCCTATATGGATAAGATTCTGGATATGATCTGTCAAAGGAAAGATTGCAAAGAGTCATCATGAATCAATTGTTCTGGATTCCTAAAATAAAACAGGATCCTAGGAGATTAATCTTGAGGATAAAAACCAGCCCTCCTAACTTGTGAACAAATTACATATGTCTTTTCATTTCAATCCTTATTTTCCTTCTGCTACTCCATTTGAGCCTCTGATTTACCTGAAAATTTAACATCATCAGGTTTACTGGTTTTGTGCAAAGCTGTTACTTTCAACCACAAAGTTGCCTGGTATTAGTAGGTTTGCCTGCAAAAATAATGTGGAAGTCTTGATTAAACAAAAGGCTCACCAGCATCATGGACTAGATGTAAGGAGGGTTGAAATGGTCAAAACAGAAATTGGCTTTTTACTAGTTTAAAAACATTGCTATGCTGTATCTTAACCAAAAGCATGCCCTAGATGACATTGGTCTGGTTAGTGTTGAGAGCAAATTCTCTCTAAAAGTGTGGGGTCTGCATGGTGTCTGACTTACTTTACTAAATTCATTCATCATCTTTAGCCTCTGTCACAATTGCATTGTTCTGTCCTAAAGCTGTCAAAAGGAAGTACACATTTTATTGTTTACTTGAGGCTATAACAAAAGTATTACTAGATACAGACTTACAGGCAAATGAGTAAGTTTTGATAGAGATGACAGCAGTGCACAGGATTGCCATCATGTAATGAAGGTATGAATTTGTACATTTAATTGACTAAGAACTGTACTTTGGATAAATGTAGCCATTTATTTTTTGGGGGTTAGAAACTAGAGCTGTAGTCGTTCTGTTTGTGTAGAGAAATTTGATGATGGGAAGTGAATTATGACATAAAGGTGAAGAAAGAAATACTTGAGGAAAATACAAACAGTGCACAAAAAAAAAAAAAAAAAAAAAAGGAGGGCCTACCCTGTTTTGTGTTTTACTTTCTTTGGCAAGTTTTTCTGAGTTTCAGCTTAGCTAGAATTCCTACTTCTCTATAGAAGCTATCTTTTTGGCAGCCGTGACAGCGTATGACTAGAGAGGATCACAGCTGAGAAAAGCAGCTTTAAAAATAGACAGACTCATCTGTGGTGTCTGGAGATGCAAATACTTCACCTCCCACTGTGCCACATCATTGTGAGAACAGCTCAGTGGTGTCTCCTCTTGTGGTAAGGCCCCCTTCAAGAGATTCTTCTGCCTGCCCTGGCTGTGTTCCTGTATGCCATTGATTGCACTGATGAAACTGAATCAGTGAAATAATTGGGAGTTGTTAGGAGGAGATTTTGGAAAAACCTGGACCTTCTATCTAGCCAGGTTTACAGCAGTCTAATAAACAACTTGCATCAGCACAGCTGATGAGATGAAGACAAGCCACCTGGAGAGCTTTACCACCAGAGAGAATGTGTGACAGCTGCTCTGGCACCCTCCCCATCAGCCCTTTGCTGACTCGAGTTGGTGTGGTAAAGACTGTGAGAGGCAGCAAAGGCAGGCTAGTTTTCCCACTAGAGATCTGGGCCTTGATATCCTTTGTTTGAATATTGTCATTCTTTTTCATTTCAGAAGTTACCTTGGTATAATTTCTGTCAAAGATGCAGCAAGAGGGTAAGCAAAAAACCCTCATAGTTTGCAGAGCCCTTTGAGAGGACTTAGCATTGAGTCTCACCAAAGAGTAGCTGGTTCCCAAGCTATTTTGGTGTCAGAGATGGCTGATGCTTTTGCTTTATTTAGAAGTTGTGACTACAGGAAAGGGGATGAATGTACTGGCAGGCCTGGGCAGATAGTATCAGTCTCATTGAGAAAGGTATGAAATTCCTCATGGGAAGGCAAGATCCATGTTCCTGATGGAACAGGAACAGCTGGAAAAGGCCAAGTGCTCTGGTGTTTAAGGGGCTGCTCAGTTCTTAAGGTGAGACCTGACACAGTCAATGTAAAACAAGAGCAGGAGGCAATGGTCAGCCTAAAGTAGAGCAATCAGAACTGGTTTTGTTCATTGCGCTCCCAAAGCTGAATGATGCTCTCTTAATCAAGCTGTCAAGTAATTAATTTCCTCTTTGTGTTTCTCCTGCCTAAGGAATTCCTCCTGTGAAAGAGAGCTGTTGTTTTCTGTTGTGTTCCTTCAGAGCTGAAAACCCTATGAGCCACCATGGAGCCACATGTGCATGGAACACCTGCAGCTGCCTGAGGCCAGCAAGGAGAACAGTGGGGCACTTCCCTGGCTCCCTGCATATGGGTGCTGCAGGACAGGGCTGCTGGGAGTCTCCCCAAGCTCTGCAGGCAAGGTTGGCACAACTTTTGCCTTCCTTCCTTCCTTGGCCCTGCCCCTCCAAAACTATCCCAATTTCTTCTCCTCACCTGGTGCCTGGACAGAATAGATGGAGACAGACCCTGCTTACCAGCACCTTCCTCTTGCCCCAGGTGCAGGCCTGTTGCCCTTTCTGGTGTCTCAGATGTTATGTTCACCATTGCCCTAGTGCTGGCTGTCATCACTAATCACCAAAAGACTCAGTGTGGAAGGGACCTCTAAGGGACCCCTCATCCCACCTGGCCCTCAGGACTGCTCCGGATAGTGCCTTTGTCTTTGGCACTTCACAGTCGAGGAGGTCACTTGGGCAGTGATGCAATGCTGCACCAGAGGAAGAACAAAGCTGGTGAGCTCTCTGGGAAGTTTAATTCTCCCAAGAATCTCAGTGCTGCTTAGAGATAATGGGATGCAAAGAGAAGTATTTACATGCCAAAGGCAGCTCTGCCAGCATCCTTGACTGTAAAATTTCACTCCTCTGAGTATCTGTGTGTGACAGGGGCTGAATGTTCAAAACCAGACATTAGGGGCTTTGAAATGGCATAAACCAAAAGTGAGTTTTCTTTTGCAGGAGATGGGGAATAATGTTCTGCTGAATATGTTCACACACAACTCTGACAGCCCTGTTAGACTGCTACTTAACCAGGCAATCTCAAATCTCTTGGGACATCTGTGAGAAGCAAGATTTGTATTTAAATTAATTCAGTAAGACGTTATAAGACAAAGAATATAGGATCTGCCTCTCAGTTGCAGATATCCACCATGTGGATGCTGGCATTTCAATGAGTTACTCATCCTCCAGTAGTCAGGGGAAAGAGAGAGGCCTCTCTAAAGTGTGATTCACAACACATTTTAGAATGTCTACTTTAGGATGAAATTAATCAAACCTTAGAAATTTTCAGTTCCATTCAGTAGACTGCAAAGAACCTGGCATGATCTCTTACAGTACAGACATCTGAAGCTGGTGAGATGAAGCCCAGCCAGGGTGCCAGGAGGGAACCCCAGCTGCTCTGATGTGTGTTGTCACTCTTTACTCACCCCCCTTGTGCAGCTGGTGGTTTTCTTGCAAGCCCCCGGTGTCCTCACGGGGTTTTCCCTCCTTCCCTTGGTGTCACAGGGACGGCGGAGGCCGCTAGATGGGGGTGCAGGATCTGCTGCAGGATCTGTCCCACAGCCCGGGGCCGTGCTGCCCGGGGCCGTGCTGCCCGGGGCCGTGCTGCCCGGGGCCGTGCTGCTCGGGCCGTGCTGCCCGGGGCCCTGCTGCCCGGGGCCGTGNTGCTGCTCGGGCCGTGCTGCTCGGGCCGTGCTGCTCGGGCCGTGCTGCTCGGGCCGTGCTGCTCGGGCCGTGCTGCTCGGGCCGTGCTGCCCGGGGCCGTGCTGCTGCCACACACCGAGCCAGCTGGGATGTGAGCCCGTCATGGCTTCCCACCGACGCTCCAGAACATGCTCTGAGGGTTTAAACAGGGCTGTTTCCCTTTGCCTCCTGAGGTGGGACAGGACCACACACCCGTCAGGCACAAAGCTGGGGCTGCTCCAGGAGCCGGTGTGCCCTCCCGAACAGACCTGGGCTGGCAGAACCCGAGCAGCTTGGTTCAAACCTTGCATGGCGATTCCACACTGCTTTCAGCTGGGTACTGGATGCCAGATAAAACAATATTCCTGCTTGGCAGAGATGAGAAAGGTAAATCCTCCTGTGTCAGCACAAGGAGAGTGGCGATTCTCACGTGGTACCACGTCGTTCTAGAGCGCCAAAACAGCAGTGGATTTCCTGGTCATTGCTTTTGGTTTACTTCATACTTTTTATGTTGCATGTGTGGGATATTGTTCTAATTTCTAACAATCTCTGGCCCCCTGATTTGCTGTTCTGTCCTCTTTTCCAAAGTGCAAAGGGAAACGCGCTTGACTGGGTGACCTGTGCATCCTTACTGTTAAATTCACGCTGGAAAATTACTGTATATTTAAGTCTCCAGTGCCACAAGTGATTCCTGTGCTGTGGATCAGAGAGCTACAGGTGGCCCTGTGCTCATTTCTGGGGTGGCTGGGAAGAAAAGCCAAGGCCAGAGGGCCTTACAGCATTCATACACTACATCCCCATCCACATTACCATCACACCACATTAAAGCTGGCCCAAAGGATTTGTGTTCTGAAAAAAAAAATAATTATAAACAATGTGAAGGATACTGGCATTCCTAAATTTGAAAGTGGGTACATCATCCTACTCTTTTTGCAAGCACTAGCAGAACAAGAATACTGCTATATTTGATTAGTCTTTTGAGTCCTGAATCTTGTGAGACTTCTTCAGAGCTCCTCTACTGTCTAACCAAGAACAACTCTTGAGCACATCCTTAAGACATAGAAAGTATCCCTTGTGCCTTACTGTTTTGTGTGCAGGGATCAGGTGGGTTTATCAGCAGTGTGGAGTCCTTAGCAGGGAGCTGCTGGCAAACCACCTCCGTTTCTGTCCTGGTGTCCAGGCACCAGAGAAGCTGGGCTGCCTCCCAGGCTGGACAAGACAGGAGAGAAGGAGCAGTGCTAAACAGGCACCTGTGTCTTGGGAGCTGCTCAAACCTGATCTGGGGAGGGATCTGGACCTCAGCTGGACCGGGAGAAGTTTTCTCCACAGCTTTCTTCCATGCCCCCCTCTTGAGCATCACACATTCAGACCTCTTCCCTGGCACGCCTTAATCAAACCCTGACCTCCACAGCCCCTCCTGGTGTCAGTGACCTCCCATGCCATGGGGGATGGCTGCTGGCAGCTCTCCTGGAAGGAGCAGATCCTGCTCCCTACAGACTACCAGCCATCCCTGGCAGGACTGTGTGAGCCCAGGGAGTTTGCCAGAGAAGTGCCCAGCTGGCACTGGGGAGGCTGTGACATGTGGCCATGGAGCATTTCTCCAGGACACATCCTGGAAGAGGAAGCATAAATCACGCTGGCTGTGTGGCTTTCTCCCAGTGCTCTGCTTGGATCAGCTGATCTCTTTTTGTTTGCTCTGTTTTTTCACGTGATGCATGGCCTGCAGATATCCCTTATTAAGAAATGTTTGCCTGAGATTTGTGCCAACACTTGGACCTGGAAGTAGAGCATTTCTCAGCCAGCTCCTCCTCTGCAACACCCCAAAACTGTCAGCATTTTTTGCCTTTCCCCTGGGCAGACATGGGGGCTGGCAGGAGCTGCATGCTGGTGGCACAGGCTACTTTCAGCTACGTTTGCCAGAGACTGGATGTTTTGTGCAGTGGCTAGCTGTCTGTCTCCAGATGCTGGAGTATTTCATTCTTGGCTGTGAGGCTTGACATGGACCAGCTGAGAAGCAGATGCTAATTAAAGCAGAAAAACAGAGCTTCAGTCTGATTTTCTATTTTTCCAAGTCACCTTATACAGAGGATTTACACCCATTAAAATGGTGCTGTGGTTGGTGTAATTTGTTTAAAATTCTTTTTGTTTCTTTTTTCTCTCTCGATTCTGCTGCTGTGCTTCTTCTGCATTTCTTTCCACTCCTGGATTTCTCAGTCTCCTCTGAGCTGAGCTCCTTGGGGATATTCCTTCATGGGGAGTCCCGTTTATCACAGTTCTCAGGGTCAGGACAAAAACTCCAAAGGCTGTTAGGCTCTTGTTTCTTGTGTTTATTAGGATGTTATCACAAAACTTGGCAGGTCTCTCCAGACTTTCTGCACAAGTTTAATTCATCCTGCCCTTGTGCCTCACTTTGGGCTTTGATGGCTCAAAATGGCCCTGAACTATGCAGTTCTTTTATCTTTATACTCATTCTTATCCAATTAACAATAGACACGTATATTATTTTTCTTAATGACCCAATGACCCATCATCTGTATGCTGCACTACAGTATTTTCTAACCAACCACTCACTATTACCCAAAAACCTCTAGAAAAAGAACATGAAGAAGAAAGAAGGAAAAGAAACAACATTCTAAATCCTCCATCTTGTCTTCTGCTTTCTAAACTATTTTAAACTCTAAACTTTAACTTTTTCACCCAGTGACTTAAGAAAACTTTCTAATCTACACACACTTTTGGTTTTTCTATCTAACTTTAGCATTTGTTTTCATGTATCACCATGAAAACATGCTCATAAATTTTATATTATATGAAATTCAGTGTTCTTCTGGATCTCAGAGGCAAGCATCAGAAACAAGTGCACACACTCTGTGTCTCAGACTCCAACAGTTGGTGCAGGGTGAGGCTGTGATCCCTAATGCTTATTTCTAAGGGGCTATGCTGAAGCCATGCTCCTTTTCCTGCAATGTGTGTCTTCATGTTTAGGTGAGCATCCGCTCTCACCCCACTTGCTACTTAAATTCCTGCTGCTGGTTTGTCTCACACCCATTTTCTGTCATCTAAAATTTACCTTCTTCTTTCACCATGGTCATTGCTTTTGTAGTACAAAGTACAGTTTTGGTGGGAAGGGCTGGGGGCAAAGCACAAAATTGGGTTCATCTTGCACCAATGAGGTGGGTTTGGCTCAGGCTGCTCTTCTCAAAGATTTGCCTGTGGCAAATAGAAAAGCCTATGAGAGAAGAAACCAGTGTTAGATACAATATTCCTTTCCCCTGCTGTCTGTTTTGTTTCTCTTACAACAGACACAGATGAGATGACTGGAAGATTCATACCCAGCAAAAAGTGAAGAGGCTGCTTCCCACTGATAAGAGCTGTGTGTTTCCATGTGCTTGTTCAGAGGTTGGTGAGAGCACTACTGGGCTGAAACCTAGCAGACACATTTTCCAGCACTGAGAAGCTCTCTGTGATTTGCAACTGAAAATGAAGAAAAGGGTGAATGAAGAGCTAATTCAGTTATGAGAAACCTGCTGGAGGTTAAATCTCTGCCTTTGCTGCCCTCCGGGGCATGCTGGCTTCACGGGGTGAGAGAGGTTTTGCATGCTCTAGGTAAACTTCTGCTTTTAAACATGCAACACACTGGTCTAGGTAAACCACATCTTCCTGGTGCAGTGAGAGCCACACAGCCAAAAACTCATAATCCAGATATACTTTAGTCTGTTTTATGATAGCTGGGCTGTCTGGCAGTCTGGCACTCCCTAATAGAGGGCTTCCCCCATCTCACTCAGTAGAGATCTGAAAATTGCTCTGGGCGATATTTTTGGTAGAGTGCATGTATGAAACACTTATATCAGCCCAAGTCACAAACACTTTCTCTTGTTAAATGGGTTTTAAAAGCTTTGCCCTCTGGGTTTTGAATTATCAGCAAACAAAACAAGGCTTGGATTCAGTGGTGAGGCCTTGGTGGATTATGCCTTACTGAGAGTGAGTTAGCTCCATCATCCCACTGTCTCCTCTCCCCTAAATCATTCTCTGCACTGAAGGCTTTTGGAGGCACAAGGGGATTGTACGTGTATCCTCTTCTGCATACAACAGATTCCACCTCACACAATCCCTGAGGGATGCTGGTGGTGTTTCCTTGGTTGAGCCCTGAGCCAGTCACAAGCACTCACTCCTGAGAATGTGTTTCTGCTATGGTAGAGGAGAAGCAGGAATGATCTGTCACTGCCTGTACAGCTCCTGACCCCAAGAAACTGCTTCTGGAGCAAGTGCAGGGGATATGACTTCAAGGGCCCCTGATAAGCTCTGGAGTCAGGCAAGGCAAGTCATGGGAGTGGCTCATCGTCCCTTGAAACAGAAGAGCTGAGCATCCTGCTCAGATTTCTGTGATGAGAGGAAGGCCTGTGTGATCTTAGATTCTTTAAAATCCTACCAAAACTAAGAGCTGGCATTTAATCTGAATAAAAAAAAAAAAAAAAAAGCACCTCAAAGCCCTGCTAAGCACAGGACAGCAGTTATCAAACTTCTCTGTTGTCTACTCCATTTTTTGCTAAGAGATACTCGCCCTACAAGCCCTCTGGACAATGTGAGCTTGCATCTGTAAGTCTCTGAGGTAGAAGGTGCAAAAATAGCCAGACTCCTCTGGCACCACTGTTAACCTAAATTCAGTGGAGAGAGGTGCAGAATTAGATGCTGGGGGTGTGGAGGTGCCCCTGTCACATTCAGTAACACTCACTGTCTGTGCTTGGGACCTATCATCAGCACTATTGGAGCTGTGGCTGTCTCTTACCTATGGGACTGCTTTTCACCAAGGTATTCCGAGGATTAGCAGAAACTAAAGTGTGAGCTTTCTGTCTGTCAGCTGGCCCTTCAGTGAGGGAGGGCTGAGGACTCCATGTCTGTTGACTATTAGAGTTATGAAAGAAATCTGCCGTCCTCCAAAA